TATGTAATTATGTAATTACATATATTACATAATTTTAGTATTATTGAATTTTTATATATACAGTATGTTTAATTAAACCCAAAAAGTTCCTTTGTCAGAATTTCTGTAATACTGTTTTTTCTTTGTCTTGTGTCAGAGCTTGTCTGAAGTGAACAGACTGTGACTGTGGTCAGGGGATTTTACACCAGTTCTCCTTCCAATTTTATGTTTTCTTTGTTTTTCGCTGTTTTGGCACAAACATGTCCGTCTCAAAGAACAGGGTCATAGTACTTTCCTACCCACAGCGGTCTGTGCATCATGGTGAATCAGTCTCATTCTCGTTAACGGGGCACAAAACCTCTGCAAAGTACTGAAATGGTTTCATGCCTCTGTGCTTCATGTTTTTGTCATTAGTACCAGACGTGCATGCAGGGAGTACCTGGAGCGCAGGGCAGGGATGGGAACCCGGGGATGAATGGCATTCCAGGCACACCAGGAATCCCTGGAAGAGACGGACTGAAGGGCGAGAAGGGAGCGTGTGTGACTGAGAGGTTTGAGGATCCCTGGAAACCCAACTTCAAACAGTGCGCCTGGAATTCTTTAAACTACGGCATTGATCTGGGCAAAATAGCCGTAAGTATTATATCCATAATGCAAGAGCTATTCCAACCTAATTTCACAGCGATTTCATATGCATTCGTACAATGTGAATTGATAAAAAATGTATGATTTTTAGAATAAAGGAAGCAATGACGCTCCTAAACCTAACCTTCAGTGGGACGTAAGCAGATCATACGTAAACGTACAAATGAGAATTTATACAAATTATCCACTAATTCGCCAAGATGTAAAATAGTTATGAGATGTGGAAATACACAGTATAAAATCTGCCAAGTTTTGAACCAATCACTTAAGCCATAATGGCATGTAACTAATCACTCTGGAGCTGCAGGAAATGACATCATGACAACACTGATTGGCTGATGGCACCGCAAGAACACATACAGTCCAAAAACCTTTACTAGACTGTTAAAGCAGCTGTAAGAAGTCAAGCAGTCAAGGGGCTAACAGAGCTGGGTATAACTGATTACATGTCATCTGGATTACATAATCAGATTCCAGAAATTAAGTACTTGTATTGGATTATATTACATTTTATAATACTCGTAATCAGACTACAGTTGCTTTTTTATTGGTTACATGATTACATATTATTGACATAATAGCAATAAATGATTCATAATTTATTGATTCTCCCTAAGTCTTCTTTTTCTTTTAAATGTTCCTTTCTAAAATAGACTACCGCTTATATACACTCAGAAAGTCTGTTTTGTGGACATTCACACAAAGACCAGTCATTAGTCAGGTGGCCACACAGCATTTGACCACTGGATTTACAAAAATCCTTTTAGGTTTAAGAAGTGTTTTCACAACATTTCAACAACTACTGACACAAGGATACGCTTTCTACGTGTATTTACACTTTGATTTGAAAGAAAACAGCGCATCCGTGTTGCGCGGCTGACACAGAATAGCGTTCGCTGCTTGCGTTCAGCTCATATTCTCCAAAATGGTGCTACGTTGATGCTGAGAGACACAGAGGAGACGAATTGTTGAATAAAGTCGTTATTTTTGTTTTCTTCGCGTACAAAAAGTATTCTCATCGCTTCATAACGTTAGGGTTGAACCACTGATGGCAGATGGACTATTCTGACGATGTCTTTCATACTTTTCTGGACCTTGACAGTGTAAGTTACTTGGCAGTCAATGGGACAGTCACAAGCCTCCCGGTTTTCATCCAAAATATCTTAAATTGTGTTCCGAAGACAAACAAAGCTTTTACGGGTTTGGAACGACATGGGGGTAAGTGATTAATGACAACATTTTCATTTTGGGGTGGAGTATCCCTTTAAGGACAATGGAACCAGAAGTGATAAACACATAGTTGCCAAAGCAAATTAGTCTAAAACACACACAATAAACTTACATAGGTTTTCTTGCAGTTAAATATGATCATTCATTCATTCAGTGATATAACAGTGGAAGGCGTCTTGATTTTTCTTTCACAGGAGTGCACGTTCACCAAGCAGCGTTCAGACAGCGCTCTGCGTGTGCTCTTCAGTGGTTCTCTCAGGCTCAAGTGTAAGACGGCCTGCTGTCAGCGCTGGTACTTCACCTTTAATGGGGCAGAATGTACCGGACCGCTACCCATAGAGTCCATTATTTACCTGGACCAGGGCAGCCCCGAACTCAACTCCACCATTAACATACACAGGACTTCCACAGGTACCATTTATAAACTATAGATCATTACTTTTTGTTTTCTATAAGACAGTAAATTTACAAGATTGGAAAGCTGACACAAAGTGTACATAGTCAAAATAAGATAAACAGCAGACACTTAACAAATAGATCAAATAGCACTTAACAAATAGAAACATAT